AGCTGTACTAAAGCGTGCAGTACAGTATATTATGGCCAAAGGTACTGCAATACTGAAAATACTGGCAGTATTGTACTGTACTAAACCTGCCCGTGAAAACATTCCCACAGAACGTGCCTTCCTTGCTGTTCTGATAATATGTGGCTGCTCAACGATCTTCAACGCAGACAGTCCCGTAATGCAACCTGTCCGATCAAGTTGTTCTACGTCACTCTGTCGACACACACAGCAGCAACTATCACGAACACCCTCCCTTGGGGCTGTTGTCTCGACCAGATCAAATACATATCAGAATAACAACAACCAAAATAAAACACAACTCAGGTCACTAGACTACTTCTTCTCAGAAATCAAACCTAGAGCAAAATTACGATGAACTTCAAAAAGATCTCTCGGCAGAGCCTTCGTCAGAATGTCCGCATGCTGTCCTTCGCTAGAGACATGTCTGATTTCCAACACTCCCTCCTCTGTCAAATTCGTGAGAANCTCGACCAATCGAATGTATATCAGAATAACAACAACGAAGATAGAACACATCAGGTCTCTAGACTAATTCTTAGAAATCAAACCTAGCTAGAGCAAAATTACGATGAACTTCAAAAAGATCTCTCGGCAGAGCCTTCGTCAGAATGTCCGCATGCTGTACTTCGCTAGAGACATGCCTGATTTCCAACACTCCCTCCTCTGTCAAATTCCTGAGAAAATGGTGCCTGACGTCAATGTGCTCACTGTTACACGAACTGAGTGGACTCTCAGCAAGTGCAATCGCACCCTCGTTGTCCTCTCGTACCTGAATCTTACCGATTCTATCACTAGGCCTCAAGAACTCGAGCATTCCGTTGACAAACAGAGCCTCTTTTACACCGTCACCCATCGCAACATACTCTGCTTCAGTTGCTGAAAGTGTGACACATTTCTGCGTCCTAGAAATCCAAGCAACAAGACAGTCAGCTACAAGGACTAGTGCTCCCGAAACTGATCTATGGTCAGTGGCCTCACTGGCGAAGTCTGCGTCTACGTACACCAACGTGCCTACGTCTACCATAGTGTCCTGTTTGTACTCAAAGTTAGATGTGCCGTTTCCAGAAGATGATTTAGAATCTTCTGAGCAGCCTTCCAGTGGCTTTTCTTTGGCTCGTGAGAGTGCCTTGCCACCGCCCGCACAGCATT